CTTTTCTTAAAGCTTCATAATTCTTGATAAGATCTTTCCCCATCTTCTGAACAGGTCTCTGGGGTTGACTTCTCTTATCTGTTTACAGTCTTGAGTTATCAGTCTTCATATCTCCACAAGCACTTTCAACTAGATTGATAAACTTTGCATGTGAGGCATTCTTTTCAAGAGCTGCTGTCACACTTGGTCAGAGTTGGGTAGTCAGTGCTACTATCTCATTAATATCATCTGGTATTTCCAGCTGTTCATCCAGTTTAGCTTGCATGAGCTCATCCAAGTTCTTTATGTATAGATTCTTCTTCATTTTTTTAAAGCTTTCAAATTCTTTGCCAATTTCTGTTGTGAGCTCTAGAAATTATTGGCAGTAGGCTTGATCAGTTTCATTCAAACTCTTGGGAAGATTGAAGATTACTTATCAAGAGTTTCATATGCAGTTTGCTGGATCTTCTAGCCTCATGTGTAGAAATTTCTTGAGATCATTCCAGTTATTCTTCAGTGGGTTATTTTTGCAGTAAATCTTCCAGAGATCTTTTTTAATGTAATCAAGTTCTGTAAGAGCATACACAAGGGTTTTCTCATCATCCAATTTGCTCACATCACAAGTGGATTCAATACTGGAGGTGAATCACTGATATTTTATATAGGAGCCAGTCTGATAGAGCTTCATGTGTTGTGATGATCTCAAGACTGACAGATGCTTTGCAGGTGTTGGGTTGGAGATGATTATATTAAGAGATTCACTTTGCAAGTGCTTTTGGGTGGCCTGGAGAGTATTCAACTTTTCTTACTATTTTGCCATTCTCTTTAGTAGTTTGGTTTTCTCATGAAGTTGTTAGATTTCATCTCTTGATGCTAAGGTAGACTCTCTCTCTGAGATCATAATGCTAGTTTTGATTTCATCCACAGTTAAGAGAGTTGAGGTTGTTTCAAGATTTATCTCCTCACAAACTTGAGTTTGTTCTTTGGATAGGTTTTCTGCTGGTGTCCCAGGTTTGTGAGCTTCAGGGGGTTGGCTTCTTTGTGTTGATACTATTGTCAGGCATCACCAAAGAAGAGTGGCAAAATGTGAGGATTGTATGTGTAGATCAGCATGACAATAAATCTATAGAAGGAATTGTACATAGAAAAGAGTACACAAGATAAAAGATCTGGTATTGGCAGCTATGTATGACTTGTAGACAAGATTGCCACTGGCTCCCAACAAGAGATTCATGCAGTGGCAGCCTTTTATGTGTGCTTGTGAGCACATGACTTAGTGCCTTGTGAGGACACATGTACTCCCAACAGCTCACAAGCCCAGGCCCTGGGCCCTCACAGGTGTTGTTTGTCTGTGTAAGGGGTTCGTGGGCGAATCCTTACACCAGAAGCCTATCACAAACTTGCAGAAGTGTTTAGTAACAAGAAAGCTTGAGAGCTGTCACCACACTATAAAGATGATTTGACTATAGATCTTGAGCTGGAGAAGCAGCCAGAATTTAAAAGAACATACAGACTTTCACAAGCTAAACAAGAGACTCTTCACAAGTATCTGAGCAGTACTCTAATTTATAAGTTCATCTGCTCTTTTAAGTTATCTGTGAAAGTATTTATTCTGTTTGTATTCAAGAAGAACAGTGAACTAAGAATGTCTGTAAACTATTACAATCTGAATTTAAAAACAGTCAAAAATAGATATCTTTTACTACTGATTGAAGATGTATTGTATAAGCTTATAAAAGCTGCAATATTCACTCAGTTAGATATCAAGAATGCCTATTATAGATTGAGAACTTATAAAGAGAATGAGTGAAAGACTGTATTTTAAACTCTACAAAAGCTATTTAAGTACTTGATAGTGCTTTTTGAACTTACAAATGCACCAGCAGCCTTCCAATCATATATTGTGAAGGCACTTAGTGAATATCTGAATGTGTTTGTAATAATCTATCTTGATAATGTGATCATATATTCAGCTCACAAGAAAGATCATGAGAAGCATGTGAAATTGATACTTAAGACACTCAAGAATGCAGATCTTTATTACAAGCTGGCAAAGTGCAAGTTTAATGCTCACAAGATTGACTATCTTAGATATGCCATAACATTAGAGAGTGTTCTTATAAAGAAGAGCTGCATGAACATTATTCTTAACTGGCTAGAGCTAACTAGTAAGAAAGAGATTCAGATTTTCTTAAGATTCACAAACTTTTACAGATGCTTCATCTCAAGATTCTCTAAGATAGCTTATAGTCTGACTGCTCTTCTGAAGAGAGAAGAAGCAAAGCTAAGTAAACATGTATAAAGAGAGATAAGAAGAGAGACCAACACTTTCATGACTGAGAAAGATTACAAAGTCTTTATAGATCTGAAAAGAATATTTGTAGAAGCTGTTATGCTTCATTATTTTGATATAGAACAGAAGATCAGACTGAAAACAGATGCATCTGGCTTTACAGTATATAATATTCTATTACAGCTGGCAAAGAATGATGTTTGGGTTCCAGTTGAGTTTTATTTACAGAAGATGCAATCTACAGAGATGAATTATAATATTTATAATCAAGAACTGCTTGTGATTATAAAGTTATTTAGATATTAGTACTGCTGGTTGGAAGGCTTGCAAATACCAGTTAAAGTTCTTACAGATCATGATAGCTTGTACTATTTTCAGACTGCTCAAGACCTCTCATAAAGATAGATTTACTGGGCACAAAAACTGACAGTCTTTTAGTTTACAGTTAATCATGTAAAAGAAATCAAGAATCCAGTAGATGAACTCTTATAAAGATCTGATTATATCAAGAAGACTAATCTAGATAATACAGAGAATCACAAGACTGCAAACCAACTAAGAGTAATGCTCTTGAAGGAGCAAGAGACCATAGAAAAGTTAGAACTGACAGCTCAAGTTTCTCCTAATCAGAAAGAAGAGAGAGAAGATGAGAATATACAACTTATCTTTATAAAGCTTCAGATTATGATCAAGAAACTACTTACAAAGATTATCTTAAAAGACACATGTAAAGTAAAGAAGATTATAATGCAGATTCAGAAGATTAAAGATCTGGTTTACAAGAAGAATTCTTATAAGAAGAGCAGCTTCAATCTGTTAGTATTATTGCTAAACTTACTGCAAAGTAACAACTATACAGTCAAGATTTACAAAGACATTAAGATGGGCATGAAGAAATTTATGACATGGAAAGAGAAGAAGAGTATTCTCTATAAAGATGGTTGCATGTACATCTCTCAGAATGAGATCTTGTGAATAGAGCTGATCAGATGTTGTTATAATCTATCTCTTGCAGAGTATTTTGCTGCAGCAAGAACATACAAGCTTATAGCTTGCAAATACTTTTAGTCAAGAATAAGAGAACTGATAAAGAAGTATTGTAAAGTTTGTAGAATCTGTCAGAGCTCAAGAAGAGTTTGTAGAAAATCTCAAGAAGAATTATCACTTTTATTAATTTCAAATTGCTCTTGAAAATCTATTAGTATAAATATTATTACAGATCTTCCTGCAAGCCTGAATTTTAAGAAGATGTAGTTTGACTATATTCTGATTATAGTGAACCAGCTCATAAAGATAGCTTACTTTATCTCTACACTAAAGAAGCTGATATTAGAGAAATTGGCCCATCTTTTTGTTTGCAAGATAGTAAGATTATACAGATTATTCACAAGTATAATAACAGATCAAGAATCTCTGTTCACAAGTAAATTTTGGGATAATTTAACTCACATCTTGAAGATTACAAGAGTAATGAGCATAGTATTTCACCTGCAAACTGATGGTTAAACTGAGAGACTGAATAGTGTGCTAGAGCAGTACCTGCAAAGCTATATCAGTTATAATTAAGATAACTGAATGATGTGGTTGCTAATGGCAGAGTTCACATATAATAACTTACAGCAGGTCTTTATACAGAAATTATTCTTTCAGCTGATATATGACTTGAATTCACAAACAGATCTGTTGGACTCTGAGAAGTATAATTATATGTGCAAGAATTCAAAGAATCAGACAGAGGTAATAAGATTGCTTCACAAAAAGATTAAGAAATCACTCATAAAGATACAAGTCTACCAAAAGAAGTACTATAATCAGAAGTATACTATAAAGATTTTCCAGATGAGAGATAAGGTGTGACTTGATCTTTGCAATATCAAGACTATACAGTCTAATAAAAAATTGGATTTATTGAGATATAAGTCTTGTAGAATTATGAAGAAGATAGGCTCACAAGCCTACAAACTGGAGTGGCCTTCAGGTCTGCAAACTTATGATATTTTTCATGTATTCCTGCTCTGTAAGCACAAGACTCATAAAGAAATTAATAGCTTACCTCATTATGAAGTTTACAAGACAGACAAGAATGAAAAGAAGTATTGAGTCTGTAAGATAATTAACTTAAAGAGAGAGAATTGTGAGCTGTAGTACAGAGTATATTAGAAAGATTATAATAATAAGAAGAACAAGACATGAGTTTCCACAAGTAATGTCTGTCTACTGAGAAAGCTACTCCAACAATTCTATAGTAGGAATCTAGACAAGCCTGGTTTGTGTAGGCTGGTATTCAGGACTGGGACAGGATTCTATTTCTCATTGAAGCTTGTCCTGGTTCTGAATTTAGAAACAGCCAGAATCCCAAATATGAAATCTCAGTTCCATATCCCATCCCACTCAAGAGCTTGAGGTCCTGTTACCATCCCTATCTCATAAATTATTTCCCGGTCCCATCCTCAAATAGAAAATTATGTCCTATGTTCTATTCCAGCAGAGAAGGTAGGCTCCCATTTCCTATTCTGGCCAGATCTATAGTGGGACCAGAATGGGATCAGATTTCCTGGCCCCATTGTGTCAAGAGTCAAACTGGTCAAATTTTGTGTGAGACTGTTACCAAATTTTGTTACTTTTTTGATGAAGGCAGAACTCTTAGAAAAATCAATTTGATGTAAAAGAAAAAAACAAAGTATTAAAACTAAGTAATGGCTGAAGCCAGCAAATAACTAGAAACTGCCTAAATGACAAGTTCATTATTATTATTATTGTCATTGTTCTTGTCATCATTATTATTCTTGTTATTATTATAATTCTCTTTCTCTTTCTTCTTCTCTCTCTTTTTCTTCTTCTTTCTCTTCTTTTTCTTCTTCTTCTTCTTCTTTTTCTCCTTTTTCTTCTTTTCCTGCTCCTCCAGAACCAGCTTTGTGAACTGGACAGAGGCTCTAATACTCACTATTTGACAGATAGAGATCCTGTCAGCACCAGAAGAAGACAGAGAGATAATGGTGGGCAGTAGTAATGGTGGTGGAGCAGTGGCAGTAGTTGGTGGGACAGGAGCAGAACACAGACAGTGAATGATGGCAGCAGAAGTGGGGGCAGCAGAGATAGAGTGATCAGATACATCAATCAGGCCAAAATAGTTCAATCTGGTCATGGCACTGATGTCAAGAATGAGCTTCATGTCATTAGCATTAACTGTAACATACTTACAGTGCACCATTGCTATAACAGAGTCTATATTACTCAGTATAATTATTGATGCTATTGTTAATGATAACTTACACTCAAATAGAGTGCACAAGATTGCTTCAGCAGTCTTCTAAAGTGACTTAATAGCAGAATGTTACCAGTAATATTCATGTTCTTGGTGACAGGACAAAGTAATTTCCCAAATCAATTACTAAAACAGGGCCACTAGAAGAATTAGCTCTGTAGAGCTCTGGAAGTGATAAATCTTCTTGATGGCATCTATTTCACTAATTAGCATCAAGACTGTTACCAAAAATTGTTACTTTTTAACATATGAGTGCTGGACTTTCAATTATGAACAGGATGGTGGAGGCATGGATTCTTCTGGTCAAAGTTGACCAGATCAATGTCTTTATTGGCTTTATGTTAATTACTCTTCTTCAGGGCCCATTCTTTCAATACAGTCTTGTGCCACTCCTCTCCAGCTGTATGAAATGGATGTGCATGGGGAAAACTAACATCTTGTCAGTAAATAATATGCATCAGAGCAGTATTCTGCAAGTACTTACCTCTTAATATAACTTATTTTGTTGCAGTGCAGGTTCTTGTACAGGGAGTTTGCAGGATAGTAAATAATCAGGAAAGAGAAAAGAATTATCAACAGTAGTTCTGAAGAAAAAGAAGAAGAAGAGAAAGAGAAAGAAAAGAGAAGAGAGACTGACCTTATATTATTATTCTACAACCAGTATAGTAACAATGTGTTGAGCTTGCTTATAGCAATGTGCCTGTAGAATATAAACAATGTGTATAGTAATTATTCTATACAAGTACTAGATCAATATAGTTCATATTCTCATTATTCTGTAGCCAGCATAGCAACAACATGTGGAGCTTGCCCATAGCAATGTGCCTGTAGAATGTAAACAATGTATATAGTAACCATTCTATACAAGTAGTTAGTTAATATACTCTATAATTTCATCATGCAGTGCCTTCAATTCAACTCATCACATATAATTGTGAAGATGGGGCCAAAACAATATTCAATAAGAGAGAAGACTCATGCAGCACAGAAGCACTGCCAGGTCTTGAAAGATCATTAAAAAGACATATTCAAGGCAGAAGAGACAGATTACAAGGTACACCATAATGTGCTGAAGAGAATCTGAGCCAAATATAAGTGGTATGCACTCTCAGTAATTTGCATTGAATTATATTAACATTCATTACAGACAGAATAGCAGCAAGAAGAATTGCAAGATGATTGAGGATAAAGCCATTAAATAGTTAATAGTCAAGTGATTTGTCAAGAGCAAGTCAAAGAAGTACCATGAGCACCAGCTCATGGTATCTCAGAAAAAAAAGAGAGAACAGAAGAAGAAGTATTACTGAGAAGAGACTACAGAGACTGAGAATAAAGCTCAGCAGAACAAGAAGATAGAATTCAAAAGTAATAAAATTTGATAATGGTTCTGACATATTTAGACTAAAACAAGCCAGCTGCAGCATTCTATTGCTGCATATAAGCAAGCCTGGTTCTGACAAATAATAGCCAAGCTTGAGATCAAGATCATGGACCATGGTCATGATTGTCTTGCTGTGGTTGATGTATCAAGAGAGAGAGTTGAGAAGAAGATGAGGAAATTTCTGAGCCAATTACAGAGTCTGATTGAAGATAATAACAGCCTGTCTGCTTCAGAGAAGATGGAGAAAGATGATTTTGAGGTTGTGATGTTCTCTGATGAGAACAATGAGAAGAATGGTGAGAAGAATGATAATTGAATTGTTGATATCTAGAGAAGAAAGTTAGGTTTTTAGTTCTTTTTTTATATTAATTTGAGAATGGGGTTCTATTAAATTAGTAAAATGTTTTATTTTCCTGAAGAAGAATATTCCATTTTGTAGATAATAATAATTTTGTAGTTGATTACTGTGCAGAGTAGAATAAGTCTAACTAGCTGGAGATTGTCAAATTTTACTTGAACTGTTACCAAATTTTGTTACTTTTTTAACTAAGACAGAACTCAGAGAAAAATCAATTTGATTGTGAAAAAAAAAAACCTAATTAAATGGCTGAAGCCAGCAAACAAGTAAAATCTACAGAGGTTTCTTCAGAATTTATCATAGTTTAACATGAAAAAAAACAATTTGTATTATGGAAGAAGCAGCATTATAAGTTGTTTGTTACTTGATGGTTGACTACTGAAGCTGCTCAGTTAATTAAGAATAAGAACTGTAGTGACCCCAACTAAAAGACAAAGCAATGCCATTCTGATTTTTGACCAAAATTTGATCAGGTGGCAGAGCATTCTAAGAGCACTCCATGGGTGATTTGCAAGCATTGCCAAATCTTTCTCAGTCATTCAAGCTTTTCTTGAAACAGTACAAGTGGTCTGAAGAAGCATTTAACTAGCAAAGATTGTACAAAAACTAGTAATAAACAGGGTAACACTCTGATTAACATGATAGTAGATCATGAATCTTAATTTCCCAAATGTAACAAATTTTAGTAATAGTTCTGGTGTCTTAGCAACAGTTTCTGAAGTATTCTTGAACAGATTCAGATCTGCCTGTTCCTGAATGCAATCAAGATAATTTTCTCTGGCAGCTTGTGTGAATATTAATATTCTTGAATCTCTCATTTTGTACTATTGAGAATCCAGCATTTCACACATTAATAATCATGCTTAACCCTGTAATGGCATTACAAATACTCACATGAGGAATATTATATCAGGTCATGAATGATATATATAATCAGCTATTTCAAAATCTTCTTTTTATTCATGATCCAACAATCAAGATATCTCTGGTGGTGAATAATTGAACAAGTCCCAATAATCTTGCCTTTATGGCAATTAATAGTTATTATATTACAAAGAATTAGAAGTACTGTGAGTATTTACTGGGTTTTGAAAGTTTAGAGAATACTTATACTAGCAAGAATATGACAGAGATTCTTCAATAATTATTAGTAGTATGAAGGCTTGAGAGCAATCTTCTTATAATTACAAGTAACAATACATCAAACAATAATACCATGCAAGCACATCTTATACATCAGTTGAGGCCAGCATTGCAGCAGTTAAACAAGAAAACTGATTGAGATGTAGACAGTGAGACAATACTCTGTCTTGCTTATGTGATTTAACTTGTAATTTGAGAGCTGGTTTGCAATCTCAAGATTCAGCCAGACAATAATACTCTATCCACTATCTTTGATAAGAGCTTAATTACTGATGATCTAGCATCAACAGACACATTTGCAAATACTCTTAGAAAGATAATGAAATTTGATAATGATCTTGATATACTTGAGTTAATTTACTAATCTTTGCTTAACAATAGATTTGTCTTGTTGCTAATATAACTAATGCCTTCCTCCAACTTACTGCATGTTTCTGAGAATATCAACAAGAAAACCAGTGCAAGATGATTCAAGATGTTTACACAAGATGAAATTCCATCTATAAGATGTATATTTGTGTCTTGTTACTTTCACAAGCTGTAAACTTATAGATTCAGAACTCATTATCAAAATATCAAAGACTTTACTTATTAAACCATGACTAAAAGCAGATAGAGTATATAATTGGACTGTTGCAGCCATTCAGTTAATTTATCAAGATACTGTTCAAAACAACAGACCCAATAATTTATCTAGTATGGGCAATCTACAATCATCTTTTCCAGCATTTAGAAAGAGAGAAGAACAAGACTCAACAGTTAACAACAAGAGAGAACATTAAAGAAGCTATCAAAGCTGCCAGCTTGAAATTCCAGAAATACTATAATAATACTGAGCATTTAAAGGGTGAGCTGCTAGCTGTAGCTGCTGCTCTCCATTCATTATATCACATAAGAGCATATGATTTAGAGAATTAGACCAGTGATGAGTGTAAAATATACTAATAATATATTTTGAGGTTTTACAAAAAGCATTATAAGAAATATAAATAGTCAAGAAAAGTAATACTTAATATAAATGATGTATATTTATTATAAGTATTATTCTGATTTTCTCTCTGCTAACTTCTCTAGAATATTGAGAAAATGATTTTTGAGAGATCTTATTAAAGACAAGCAAATTTCCAAAATGACATGCAGTAATATTTAAATGATGAGAATTTGATATCATCTTGAGCTCTAATTCTGAAATGGTGGAGAATGCTAAAGCCTGATTTTCTAACTGTTACTTGAATGACAAGGGACATTCTGGCTGTATCTTTAACAGAAGTTAGAGTAGAACAGGTTTTTAATATTGCTCAGAATACATATTATTATTAATGATTATGGCTTCATACATCTACAATCAAGAAGATTATGCTACTTAAATATGAAGATAAGATACATATACTAGATGAAGCACTTATATTGCATGAGAAGTTGACCAAGAAAGTCATTCAAGATAATTAAGATGATCAAGATACTTCAGAGATTGTACAGAAAGAGATTGCAAGTCTGCTAAATTCACTACTTAATTCAGATGAGAAACAGAAAATGCATCAATATTATTAATAGATAGACTCAAGTAGCTAAAGTCTAATAGCTTGCAATATAATTCAATTATGCAAAGAGTGTTACCAAATTTTGTTACTTTTCCAAAGTGGAATAAATTAATAAAATTATGTTAGAACTGTTACCAAATTTTATTATCTTTTAACAACACAAATAAGACTGAAATTTCCATCCTATTCTATACTTTACTGGTTCCATCCCATATACAATATTGAAATCCTGGTCCTATTCCATTTTGTCATGGCCAGGTTCCAGAACCATTCTATTAGCTAGATTTTGATTCCAGTCTCAATTCTATTCCAATTCCAGCTCCCATGGAACTGTCCCAATATGCTGTTAAACAACCCAGTCCCATCCCATTGAGCTGAACTTCAACCCAATCCTGTTCTTGAAATGGGAATTGGGACAGGAATCCAGAACCAGAACAGGAAATCCCAGAACCAGATACCACTCTAGATTTGTGAAAGATAGATGGAGATAGTAGAACTAGAAAATAGATTAGAGAGAGAAAAAACATAGTCAAATCAAATTAAATTGGTTTCAAAAGAAGAATTATCTAAAGACTATATAAGAGTCTCCAGCTTCCTCCCACAAAAACCTGTAATAACTATCTATAATCTTACTGCTGGAAAGAGCAAGCAAGATGCTTACAGTATAAGCAGTTGTTATACTTTTAATTCATGTTTGTGGAGATGTACTCTGCAAAGACTATATGACTATAGTCTTGCTGAGCTCTCTTGCAGATAAAGTACTTCTGTTCTGATAGCAGCTAAACTCCAGCTTGAGTTACAAGAATACTCTTATAGAGCTGAACACATACAGCTAACTAGTTTGAATTATTCAAACCAGCAATAAGTACAGATCTTTGAATAGACTCACAACATCATACTCTTTTACAAGCAGACAAAGCTTGTGCTCTAGTATAAGATGAAAGACCTGAAAGAATCACCAGATTGGCCTGCAAAGCACTAGTAAAAGTAGTGACTGGCAGCATTTGGGTGAAGATGATCTGGAACCACTATTATCAGTCTTACAGAAGGAGTGCTGGACAATTTGAGGCATTCTGCAGAATTACAGTATTCACAAATCCTGCTGGAGCAGAGGGAATGGCAATAATAATCTAGAGAAGATTAGCTACAAACTGAAATATGATAGAGAATACTTATATTTTCAGTCAGGGCCAGAGCAACAACAACTACTAGAGAGAAAGATAAAGCAGCAGAACTCTAAACTCCATCAGCATGCAAATCAAATGTCAGCTTGTAAGAAGCACTTACAGCTAGAGCTGGTGAAGAAAGAGTAATAGCTGGTGGAGGAGAGAAAGAAGAAGAAACAGTGGTGCTTTAGAACTATCAGTCACAAACAATTCTCAGTCTCTAAGTCTACTCATCAAAGGCCCAGACATCTCTTCTTTGAAGGGAAGGATGTGGGCATTCTTCTGAGAGAAAAGAGCAGCAATAACTCACAAGAGAAAAGAGAGAAAGAGAGCAAACCAGCAGCTTCTAGCAAGCATGAGTCTCTCCACAAACCAAACCCCATGTGAAGGCAAAATCTTATGATCACACAAAGCAAAGATGCAACCAGGGGTGAACTCACCAGCTTGTGGCCTTGTGGCCAGACAGGCAGAGCATTGAGGTGTAGTCATTTTTATTTTTCTTCTAGAACATTAGAGACCTTCTGTGAGCCTGCCTTCCCTACAAAGCAGTACTTAAAGGGTTCACTTATCTTGATAATAGTAATATAGACTAGAGAAGAAAGAGAAGAAAAGAAGAGAAAGAGAAAGCAAGAGAAAGCTCTCTCTTAAGCTAGTGCTTATTATCTAATAGTGACACAGAGCTAGTGAGAACAATAGAAACTCTCTACATATTGTTATGTTATTGAGCTCTGTTATATTGTGTTGTGTTATTAGAGTTGTGTTGATATCATATCTCTAGTGAGACTGTACTCTTTTTCTTATAAGGAAATTTTTATTTTTTGCAAGAGGTTTTGTTTTTTTACTCATGAAGATTTTTAATGAGACAGCTGTCTTGAAAGACCAAGACTTACAAGAGAGGAGAATCTGTAAGAATTTACTTGTAAACTTCTTATATAAACAAATAACATCTGTAAGAGTTCAGAGTCTCAGCTTGCAAGCTGTTAAGAGTACATGTGTTCTTGTGAGACACTAAGTCATGTACTTACAAGCACATATAAAAAACCATTACTGTACAAATCTCTTGTTGAAAGCTAGTGATAATCTTGTCTACAAGTTGTATATAGTTGCCAATACCAGATCTTTTATCTTGTGTACTCTTTTCTACATACAATTTCTTCTATTGATTTATTATCATGCCAATCCACATATATAATTCTCATACTGTAAGTGGTGACCAAAACTTCAACATTACTGTCAGAATTATTAAAGACATCTTGTATTTTTTGCCATTTCTGGGACAACTGGCCTGCTTGTAGTGAAAGAACATTGTATCTAAGAAGTTTCAAGAAGATTTTGATATAAAACTTAATAGTCAGATAAGTAATAAAGACTAAAAGATAACACCTCTCAGCATTCACAACTTTTTGAAAAATCTTGAGAAACATCAGATATTTCAGTATTGCTGAGTATAAGAATTCTGTGATCCATATACAGTTAGTCAGAATACAGAAAATGTTAATATTAGTAATTATTCTACTTATAAGTTATATAATTCTCTGAAATAAGTGGTGCTTTTGATTAATATCTTGAGAAAGATTACTCTCATGCTTTACAACAGTTAAAGTAAAAAGATTTTTCAAAGCAAATGAAAACAATATATGTCTGAGCTGGTGATAAATAGCTATATCAAAACCACCATTAATATTATTTTCATTCTCAGAAGATTCTTAAGTATCACCAATAGTCTCTTTCTTCAGCATCAAAACAAGATGTAAGTGAATACTATAATACTGCACCAGCTGTTTTATCTGCATTATTTTACACTCAATTATTTATATACTATAGCTTGGAACATCTCTACCAATAGTAACAACTCTGTATGTACCATCAAGGTTCATTTAATAATTATATATTCAATAAAGCTGGATGCAGTTGAGAATTCAAGACAAAGCAATCATTGCAGAGTATAATAACATTGAATTATATTGAAAAAGCTAATTGTAGAGTAATAAGTGCAGAATATATAAGCAATCTATATCAGACATGGGTACTTTCTTATAAACTTTGAGTGGGTTGTCAATTGCTCAAAAATCAAAATTTATATATAAAGATTGCTTATTGATAAGCTGCATAAAACTAGACAAATCAGAGACTCTGTTTATTATAGAAATTACTGACACAATTCAGATATGATCTCTTGAGATCAAGACAGCAGTCTTGTGAACAGAAATTCTTGAATTTTTAATTTTGTGTTGTTTATCAAGTATTACACATTCAAAGAAGTTTTTGATCAGTTAATCAAGTTTTCTGTAAAGCTGCTGAAGCATGTTCTCAAATACATCAGAGAGTTTATCTAGCTATACAGTAGTATCTGAAGTCTTGTATTGTACAGCTAGATTATTAGGGCTCAAATACATATGCCATCACCATATCAAATATGACATGATGATAACTGTTGTTATGATCTTCAGATCATTTTTGTCAAGCTTTTTAAATTCAGATTTCAATATGGTTTTATCAATAATAAAGTTCTTAAGAGTATTATTGGTGATTCCTCTACTGCCAAGAATGCCATAAAAAAGAATCAGTTAAATACTATCAGAGAAGAACTAAATAATCTGATCAATCTAATTGGTGATCACTTCATTCAGACAGATAATCAGAGTAGAATAATATGGCCCAGTCAACTTTTGTTCTTTTACTTTGAGAATTAAAGTGCAGCATTGTGCAGTCTTTCTCAGTTCTGCTTTATTAGCAAGAATTCTGTCTTTTACTGATGACAGCTCTTGTGTCAATTTCCAAGTAACTTTAGTGACTTGCCAAGATTTCAGTATAAGATTTGCAACTATCAGATTGTCAGAGTCTATATTCAAGTCAGAACAAGCAGTAAGATAATCTAGAGCTTCTGCTCCAGTTATATTAAGTGTGCAATTCAGCTTAAAGAAAGTCTTGCCAATATTCTCAATAAAATCTTCATTGTTGTCATCATTATTACTTATTTCAAGATATTTCAGATGTTCAGCATCAGCTATTAGTTTATTGTTGGATCTGTGCTTTTCTACAAACAGCATTTTTGGTAAACTCTTCAAGTGAAGCTTTTCTCATGTCTTTATCCATAGAAGACAAAGGAATATCAGAGCTAATTCTATAAATAATCTTGTTCATGGTTTTGATAGCATCATTGGTGTTCTCCTCAAAATTGGTGTCAATATCCTTATTAGTAGAACCAATTTTAACATTGCCTTGAAACTCTTTGCCAATAACTACAGTAATAGCAGCCTCAGCTTCTGTCTTTGCAGCAGGGTCATCTTGTGCATCCAGATCTGCATACTTTAGAATGATCACTTTATCATCTTACTTACAGTCTTTTTCTTGTTTAAGCTGCCAACTGGCAGATCTTATCTGTACTGTGTATTTCAATAGAAGAAGAAGTCTATGTATGTTCTCAGAATTATTATCTTTAAATCTCTCCTCAGATTTTGTAATTAATTGCTGAATAATCTATAACAACACTACAGTAGAAACATCATCAGTAGACTCAAGATTCTCAAGATTATTATTAAGTAAAGAAATTTCTGCCTGTATTATTAGAAGCTTCATTTTCTCTATTGTATTAATACAGATTAAGATATCAGATCTGTATACAGGGCCAGTTCTATCAAAGAAATTGCTGTATTTCTTGTGAAATATAGTCAAAATATAGTTAATTTTATCTGATTGCATCTATTCTTGCAATATATCTGTTGTTAGAAAGTCTAAATATTCTGCAAGCTTTGCTTAATTTTCATGAATTTGACTACCATCAAGTACATAGACTCTGAAGATTGTACTTAAGTGAAGATCTTCAGTCTTGACTGTCTTGCAGACCTTTAATGTACTTATTTTCTTTAATAGAGTTGGAGAATCTATTTCTCAAGCTAGGCTAAACTCTATGTTAGAATGATAATCAGTCACTCAATATAGTAGATATTGGGGCATACTAGCTGTATGACAAGAATTTCAAGTCAGAAGATGTATTGCATATCTAGATATACAATACACAATATCATAAAAGAAGTCTTCAAATGGTGTCTAAGTTCAATATCAGCTTGTTGCTCATGAGAAAGAAAGTGCTTATAAAGCTCATTTTGCAAAGAGAATCTTATAGAAAAATCTGTATATTACTAATCTCTAGTTAGCAATCTTATAAGCTCTTTCAAGATTGGAATTCATGACTGTAGAGAGCTTATCTTTACTAATTTAAAGAGCCAGCAAGCTTGTAGTATAGCTGGTGAGACTGTATAGATTAGTAGTTAGAGAGAGAGTTGGAAGAAAGATTATAGCAACAAAAATAAAGTATAGGCTCTTGATCTAGTTAGAAAATCCAAAATAACATGTCTCTGTACCATACAGCTAGAAAAGTAGCATGAGATCTAATATTCTTACATTTGATGTAAAAGCTGTGAATCTTCAGCAGCATTTCTAACATATATGCTATGCCTTACAGCTAGATAACAGCTTAGTAGATCAAGTAGGCAAGCATGACAACAAGAAAATAATATAGAATCTTTATATTATATTACAACATCTCAATACTATATGTGTATTTCAGAATAATAAGTATAAGAAACTCTATAGTAACTAACTTCAATTTAAAGTCATGCACAATTATGATGACATTGAGCTTGTTCAGAACATAGAAAATATTAAAATCAGTAATAAGACTGGCATTTTTGATAACTTGACACTGGAAATTGTTGAAGTAGGCTGGCATGGTCATGCCAGTATTGTTAATAATGCCATCAAGATGAGATTCAGCCATCTTCTTCATCTTGATCAAGATTATAGAGAAGATCTTCCCCAGTGAAAACTGCTTTATTATTGAAGTAGACTGGCACAGTCACACTAGTATTATTAACAGTGTTATCAAGATAAGAGTCAGCTGTCTTCTTCATCTTGGTCAAGATATGAAGAAGATCTTCTCCAGCAGAAACTACTTTATTATTGAAGTAGGCTGGTACAGTCATACTAGTATTATTGACAGTGAAGATAATCTTCTCTGATATAAATTATTTAATCTCATCTTTGAATTTAAGATAATGAGCTTGCTGCTCTTATTAATGATCTTAAAGAAGAAGTGTTTTATGTTAGCTTGAATCTTAATATTATTAAATTTATAACTGATGAGGTGCTTGACATTAAAGTCTGTATTTACAGAGTTTATAACAACTTGATTCTTTACAGTATTATTAATCAAATACTCAGTATCTGTAAAGATAGTAAATAATAGAGTAGTGTAATTTCTCCAGTTATTTGTAATGGTTCTGATATGGCAGAATCTTCATCAATATTAGCTAGATTTCTATAAAAAATACAATATTGGTAGAACTTATTAAATACTGCTGTTAAGTGATCAAGCTAGTAATACTCTCTTTTCTGCAGCAGAAGCTGCAGCTGCAGCTGCAGATTATAACTGTAGCAGCAGTACAGCTAGATATAATATTAAGAGTTGTGGAAGACAGAAGAAAAGAAGTATTTATAGCTTGCATAATGTTATCAAGCTAAGTCTAAAATAAACTAGCTTGTAAATATTATTGTAATATTATAATAAAAATACACTGCTCTGTAAGTGAGATTAAAGTGAGCATAAAGTGAAGCTAGAGCAAGTGTAAAGTGAAGTCTTTATTATTATGTAATAATTTACTAGCAATCAAATTTTTGAATGATGTTTTTCTATTACTATTATATTGCTTGTAGCAATCAAATCTTTATATTAAGTGAATTAGAAAGGCATTAGACAAAATATCAAGTATTACTTGATCATCTTCAAGAATTCCAGCCTTTTCAGACTGAATCAGTCACTCTGACAAACTTAGAGATTCAAGAACATGCTAACAATCTTAACACTACTGAAATCTCTACTGGTGAATGGAATTTTGTCCATAACAACTGTAGTAACCAGTTGGCCAATATAGGGAAACAGGATATTGAGATGAATGAGCCAGAAATCTTGTTACTTGAAAGCACTACAGCTAGTAATCTTTCACTACAAGAAGATTTGGTTATAAGTGATATTAATACTAGTGACAAGAGAAAATGTAGAGAACCTGCTGTTAAAAGAAGCTCAAACTTTTATATTCTAGTTTCATCAGTTAAGCTTTTCATTGTGTTCACAATTTATATCATTATATACAAGACAACAGATTGAAGAGCAGGTGTATCTATTGATGTTCAAATTAAATCTGATTCTGAATATCTGGAAGAACACAATTCATTTTATCCATTTTGTAGTGAGATTAATTATAGAATAGTGAGTTTCTTTTTCAGAGCAAAACTCAGCAAGAGAAATATTAATAACTTCTTAAAGAGCTCTTCTTTATACAGCATCACTACATAACTAAGTTTTTACAATGCAGACATGCTCTTCTCAAAAGTTGTCAAGATCTCATATGGTCATACTGCAAGAAATTAGGTTCAGATGAATGTAATAATTTTCTTGCCAGAATCAGATTTGCACTTTAAGACACATAAGCTTCAGTATCAGAAAGTTAAATATGTTATTCAACATCTTCTTGACCATAAACTATTTCAGAAATATCTGATATATGAACCAGTGCAGCACTTTAATCAGAGTAATAATCAAGTGTATACAAAAATGTATACTGAAAATTGGTGGTGGAATACACAGAAGAACTTTTCTGATGATGCAACTGTAGTACTAGTATTGATTGCAACAGATAAAATACAGCTTACTAACTAATATAAAGACTTGAACTTATAATCTGTATATCTCTCAATTAGAAATTTAAGCAATATGGCAAGACAGTCTTATAACATAAATAGTACAATACTTGTTGAATTTCTCTCATTACTAATTATTATTATTATTATTATTATTATTATTCATTATAGTCTTATACAGTCAGTGACTATAAAGACTAACTAATAGCTTCTCTGTTAGAATTTACTTAATATACATTGTAGAAACTGAATAAAGAAAAAAATTCAAAGTATTTCAAGATAATATGAGATATTCTTTCTCCACAAAAGTCAAATAGCAGATAGGACATAATATTAATTTTAAAGGAAAATAATAATTCTTGTAGCAATGTGATACAAATCAAAAAGAAATAAAATTAGCATATTTGGGAAAGGCACTGTCTAGTAGCTATTCCAGTACATTTTAGAAATAAAACTAGCCATTTTAAGCCTAATTCAGTTTCAAAAATAAAATTTAAAGATAGTTGAGAAATATCAAGTTCTTCTTGAATTTTTCTTCTTTCAGTATGATAAGCTGAGCAGTCTAATAATAGATGCTTTGAATTTTCAACACAATTACAGAAATAGCATAAATTGGAAGAGTAGTCAGATAATCTTATTAAATAAGATTTGAAATATCTATGACCAAGCTTTAATTGACAAATAGTTAAGCATATCCTCTTAGATATAGAAAGAGTAGATGCTTTCCATCTGGATTTTATTTTGAATTAAGAGTAGTGATTTGTAGAACTTTCTCTATTAAAAAGATCTTCAAACCACTCTATCATTGCTTGTTCTTTTATGTGTCTTTTTATATAAGTAAGAGATATATATCTTTCAGAACAAACTTGATTTAATTCTGTAGCTTTTTTTGCTACTAGATCAGCTTCTTCATTTTCATGTATATTTACATGTGCAGGAACCCAATGAAGATGTAGATTAATTTGCTGATTTTTAATAGACTTAGCAGTTTTTCTTATAGATTGAAGATAATATAAGCCAGAATTAAGATCTTGATTCATAAGTCTCTCAATAGCAGCTTGACTATCAGAAAACATCTAGATATCTGATATTGATCTTGATTGAGACTGAGAGATAGAACTTGCTAATTTAAATGCTTTATCTATAGCAAACAGTTCTGCATCAAAGACTTCAAGATATTTTTCTAGATTCCATGAAAATCTAATATTATCTTGTAGATTGTATACACTAGCTTCAGCATATTGATTTTCTTCAGCTTTAGATCTATCTGAATAGAGAATTAAAGATCTATTATTTAGATTTTTAATTTTATTTATGTGACTATCTTTAGCTGTTTTCTTGTCTGAATTTTCAATTTGAATATCTATCAAATCAGCTAGATTTTCAGACCAAAGTGCATTCTATTTTGCTTTGATTTTCTCTGTTTTTAGGGAAGGTAATATATTTGAAATCATTAAACAAATTCTAAATAGTTGACTTGGATACTTTTTTGTTTCTTGATTTTTCTTCTTTTTCTTTTTCTTTTAGTTGATGTTTGTACAACATATTCATTACTTAATTCTGATTGATTCCAATCTAAAAACCTTCTCTAATCAAGATCAATACCATTATTATAAGGTGGAAAGCTAGAAGATACTTTTTTTCTGATTGCATATTCTTTTGGCATTTTTAATAGTCTATAAGTATAGTTTCTGCATAGTCTATTAAACCTTACTTTAGCAGGAGAAATAGCAGCTTCAATCTCCATAGTATAAATTGGAAAAGTTTTAAAAGCTCCTATAACCTTTCTTAAAGCAGAGTTTTGAAGTTTCTCATACTTATAGAGAAGATTCTTTTGATTCTTCCACCAAATCTGAACACCATAATCAGCTCTAGAAGTAATACAAGCTATATAAAGTTGTCTCATAGCTTGAAAAGTAAGATCTTTTTCAGTATTTGAAAGTCTGATTATTTGATTAAGAACTCTTTCAGCAGCTGATATCTTAATTTCAACATGGTTCTTGAAAGTAAAAGTATTGTCAAGCCAAATACCTAACCATCTCACTACCTTTTTTGGTTTAAAAACTTGATCATGTAGTTTAACTGAGTTATCTTCACTAAATAATTTAGTAAAGTAGATTAACTCAGTTTTTTCCATATCAAATTGAACTACATGAGAATCTTGTCTATTAAACATTGCTTGTAAAGCTTTATCTAACTTAAAGCAGTTTTCTTTTATTGAGAAAGAGAATACAACAAGTCCAGTATCATCTATATAACTAGGAATTCTGATATCTTTAAGATCTAAATCATTATTATTCTTAAAGAGATATATAGTATATATAGAGAAAAGTATTGGAGATAGAGGTAAACCTTGAGGAATTCCAATATTTATAGATATCTTTTCTTGTTGTTTCTCACCATCAGAAACCAGTTGGATTTTTCTTGTTTGCATAAAATGAAAAATCCATATAGCTAGTGATTTAGGTAGTTGCAAATCAGAGAAGACTTTTAACAGTCTATTTAGTGAAATATAGTCAAATGCTCCTTTTATATTAATAAAAAGAGCTGAAGCTACCAATTTATTGACTTTTGCTAATTGAATATCATGTACCAAACTCATTACAGCATCTATAGCAGAGCATTGCTTCTTTCCTCCAAACTGATCAAAATATAGTAGTTTATTTTGAAAGGTCTAATAAGAAAGTCTAGAAGCAATAACTGTCTCTATAACTTTTCCCAAGCAGTTAAGTAGAGAGATAATTCTGTAAGATTTTGGTAATGAAGCTTTTCTATTTGGTTTCTTTAGAATAACTCCAGTAGCTTCTCTCCAGATTTCTGGATGATATTTTTTTTCAAATAGTATAGAGTATAACTTGAAAAATCAATCTTTAAGTACTGGACAGATTTTTTGTAGTATAAGAAAGGATATACCATCTGGGCCAGGTGTACTGGTTTTGGAGCCTGAAAAAATAGAGTTCTTGATCTTTATTTCTTGAAGATTAGGCCATTTCCAATCTGGATTTTCATGATGTTCATTCCAATTTATTGGTGGATAACTTGGTGGTCCTCTGAACTACATTTCTCTTTAAATGAGATAGTAAAGTGGGA